CATGCTAGCATGTCTCATTTGTTAGAGAAAACACAACAACTTTAAGTATTAGTATTGTTGCAATTAACACTTAGTTTTGGGTGGCACTTTCAGTTGTTGATGATATCCAGCTGTTGTTTCTCCAGAAGTTTATTAAACTTAGTGTATTTCACTTTGGACTAAAACACTAGGAAACTGTAACATGACATTCAGCGTTGGCATTTCATGGTTCAATTTCATATATGTTGAGGGATTAAGTGTGTTAGCTTACTCTTGGCTTCATTTCAAGGGCTTTCTTTTATGTGGTGTTAATTTGGGAGGGGTTACTGGTTTACTATTTATAGGTAAGTTGCTGCAGTTTGCTTCCATGACTTACAGAAGCTGCACTTAGCATTTCATTGGTGTTGTGTGGTGGAACTTTCTCAGCCTCAAACACCACCAACTTTTAATTTAAGGGTGACGGCAACATTTTGGCATTCTGTGCCTCAGCAGGAAATAGTTTGCTGTATACGGTTTGCATAGGCCCCTCTTTAAAAGGTTATGGCTTTTGGTTTTTGGCTTTTAGTTGTTGCACAGATTAAGCGAAAATACAATTATTTCATTGTTTTTCTCCTTGCCATGATCAAAGAGATAATGTGACCTTATTGAAAGTATGAGGCATTACCAATATTACTCTACAACAGCCCGTATTGTTAGGTTGATACAGAGAGGACTGCTGCTAGCTTGCATATGAATATTAACAAGAATTCCACACTGTGATGTTTCCCATTCTGTTTGGTGTGCATCTCTCTCTCTGCGGGAACAGACTGATTATACCAGACTCAGACATCGAACCCCTCACCCATCCCCACTCCTTCTCTCAGACAGAGATGAGGGAAGATGAGTTTAAAAATAAATGAGTAAATATTATTTTGCTGTTAGATGCACCATTTGAAAAGCCTGTTCAATCTTACACCAACAACAGGAACTCAAGTCTTTAATACTGTAGTTCTGCTGTTTACAGATTACACGCAAGATGCCACTCTTTTGGTTTGAAATGCATTGCCGTTTGGATGCTCAATGTAAAATGTGTGTGATGTGGTACGGTGCTCATGGCAACAAATTGAGCATTTAGAAATATTTTGTCCTAAAGCTAAATTAGATAATAGGCAATACTTCAAGTGCACCGTTTAGACTTCAGAATGCATAGCTGCATGTGATTATGAACAGGAAACTATTGATACCCATTGCAGCAGAATAGTCTCTCTGTGTTGACTGTCCTTTATTTTAAATACAAAATTATATAGTAAACAAAATATCCTCCTTGCTGCTACAGTCTTTGCATATAGGTAAACTTCATTTGAACCCATTTCTGTTAGACAAACACAGATATCACTGGATCTCTTGGAATGGAACCTGTCCCACTCCCTCGTCTAAACTGTGATTTCTGTGTTTACTGAGCACTACGAATAAAACAGACAAATAATTTCAACTTTCAACTACCAGCACCATAACATCATTTTTATTTGAACCCTTTTCTATGGTAAGTAACAGCCATGACTCATAACTTTGCTCTCAGATATAAACCAGGATGAAGTTATAATTAAGGTTTAGGAACAAGACCACACTTTACTCCCCCAATAATTTCATTACCAGTGTCTCGTTAATTCCACTACCTGTGCCTCAATAACTCAATCACCCATGCAAACCTATATTCAAGTTTCTAACCCATTGCTAACATAGCCCCTGTGGCTCCGCCTTCTTCTGCAGGTCCTCCTCCTTTATCTCTCGCGTCAACCACTACCAATGCTGCGACACCAGTTTCTACAAGTACTACATCCTCGTCGCTTTGCAGGTTGCAGGTTGCCTCCAACAGTACAACCAGCCACCTATTGCCTCAACAGTGCCCCATTACCTTGTCCTTTCACTCCACCCGCACATGCTCCGACCGTGTTTCCAAGACCTGAGCCTCCCGCGCCTCCTCCCCCCCATCATTCCCAAACAGCGCCCACCCCCCTACCAGTCAAGATACCGCCGTCACTCTACTGTCCTCTCAGCATAGACAACCTCTATTGAGGTGGCATAATGGTCTGCAACAATTTCAACAGCATGGGTTGCAACATTTCAAGTTGTTCCTTTCTCTATGCCTGTTCCTTTTGCACCCCATACTCATTGCACTACTTTGGGGGAATGAGTGGTCTAAAAATGTCATCCTCATCCATTCAGACCACTGCGCCGCAGTCACACTGCTTTCATCATTCTGCTCGACCACCACCATCCCCCTGTGCATGACCCCGACCAACCTTGTGCACTCGGCAACCGCCTCCCTTCCAACCCTCTCCTCGAAGCCCCCATCATCCCACCTTACACGATCCTCACCCTATCATCCAACCGAACTCAACCCTCAACCAATCTTTAACGCATCTTTAATGCAACTTGTTGCTACGAACTTTTGTTCCAACTTATGGCGTTGTCTTCGTTAGTGAAGCAGTTATTTTAAGTGTCACAGTGGTTGTGGTTGTTTTTGAACTACTAAAATGAAGAAGTAGCAGCAATTGTTTCCCGTGGGCTACTTTCTTACTGCACGGATTGTAAACCAGAGGGCACAGTTTACGAATCCGTTCTTACATTCTTTTCACCATGCGACCCCAGAGGGGCTCCATAGAGGGCTATAGGTTGTGGTGAGAATACAATGGAGCATACAATACTACATAAATAGTGGTTCTGAAAGTATCTGTAGAATAACAATTCATTATCATTTTAAGACCAAAATAATTATTTATTGGGCAAAATAACAGCCCTACGGTCTCTGTAGTGATGTTACTGTTATATGAGCAATGTTCATATTGTGGCATGTCGGTCTTTGAAAATGACACCCAGTAAAATATGCAAATAAGCCAAAAATGTAGGCTAAGTATTTGCAAGTTAATATTTGCCAATATCTTAGATCCCACAGACTCCCACTGAGTAAAGTAGCAGTGTTTTTTCTTCTTCTATGGCTCAAGACTTCCTCTCCTGTAATGCAGCATTCACACAGTAATATTGAACGTAGGACAGGACAACAATTAATGAACAGTATCAGAAAGAGGCAGGTGCCTACAGTACAGGCATAACATCCAAATCCAAACACAAGTCCCAGGATAGTAATAATTACACCAGCAGTTCAACCACCATCATTATACATAACCCTAATCAATGGTCATTGCGCTTAAGGGGAGCCGTGATGTTGAATAGTTCCAATGAGCGGTGAGCTGTGTGTGTGTGTGTGTGTATGCAAATGGTTAGTTTTAATGTCTCTAATGAATAGATGTAGCACACGAAGCCTGTGGACACCTGCTGTGTCCATTAGTCCCAAAGCGCATACTAATCACTATGGCTTTCAAATCTGAGCAGGTTATTCACTGTCCCTAAAATTCAAGGACCCTTCATTACACGGAGCGCATTAGGTTGCAGTGATAGCTTGTTGAGTTATACGCTTCTTCCAGAGGAAAAAGAACATCGCAGAAAAGTCCCTTTAATTGATTCAATGCAGTTTTCGCTTACGCAGAGCACTGGACGCCCGGAGGAGTAGCTTTAACTTAGTGGCACATTCTCTGCAGATCTAAAGAATAAAGTAGAACAACAAGTGTGAATTGACAACCTGCATGGACAAACAAGCCACATACCACCAGCTGTTGCCTCCCACCTTAGCTATACCATACTCTGCTCCCTTTCCTTTCAGTTGCCAAGCTCACTGATTAAATCATCCTCCGAAGAATTTCAACAATCAATCTTCAGTGAATCCCAGTTCCTACCTGTTCCCATGGCTACTGGGAAGACAGAGAACTGAACTGTGGGATATGTAGTGTTTTGACGCAGGTTCTATCTGGCTCCAGTGGCATGGTGGTACCACTCACCTTGGTGTAGATATCAACATGTATCACACATGTTTTGTCAGAGAGGATTCTTGTAGGGCCAGTGGAAGAGGGGAGGAGACAGCGATGACAGCTGCGAGACAAAAAAAAAATAGAAGACTAGATGTTGAAAGATTGAGTGTTGGGGGTTACCAGTGCAATGGCAGCGCTGCAGGACTCAGCTGTGAGCTGCTGATTTACAGGGCCTGAAGGAAAGCCACGGCCTTCCACCCACTCTGTCGCCATGGGAGACGGTGGAGAGGAGGTCTCGTCTCCTTTTCTTCCTCACCGTCATTCTCTCTCCGGTATAGTACTCATCCCTCTATCTCTCTTTCCCTCTGCCCATCTCTGTTCATTTTCTGCCTGTCAACTACCCCTTTCATGATAACCCGCTGAGCTCCGATTATCATTCTGAATCAGCCACTAAATAACGGTTAAAACCAACCTCCAGGGAGGTGAGTAATGATAGAGATTGAAATAATTACAAAAGTGGGCACAGTCAGTCTCTCTGTGTGTCTTGATGCCTGCATACATGTGTGCACACTTCCCATGCATTTCATAGTTCAGCTTTACTTCCCTTGTTGGTAATGTGACTGAAATGTGTGTTATCAAAGGGTGGCAGGCCTCTGCACTAGCAGTAGCAATGGAGAGTAAGGAAAGAAACCACAAACAGGAACTATAGCCTGCTTCCAGGAACCACCACATCAACCCACACACTCAAAACCCACACACAAACTCAAAGACATACACAAGCCTAGAGATGCATGTGCATACACACACTCAGTTTGTCTCTATTCCCTGTGACAATACACCACCCTCTCTTTATCTCAGAGGGCAGGAGCAACAGTTAGTGATCACATGACTGCAAGTGTCTCTCCTCATTTTTGTGTTAGCCGATTAGCTCAGGCTTAAAGTAAATGCTAAAAAGAAGTAGAGGAGTAGAATGCATGCAGTTAGTTCACTTTTTCACTATTTAAACAGACTATACACAGGGAGAGAGCCTGTAGAGCTACAGGAGCGAGAGGGTTTGGGGAGGGGGAGGCTGTTGCTACGGCAACCAGAGTCGCGGCGCTCATCATCATGAGGCTTCTTCTGCATTGTGTGTGTGTGTGTGTGTAGACATAGCTCTTGTGAGTTCACCCTCCTCTCTCCAGACAGGAGGCGAGGACATCCCTCTCCAACGCTGTGCCAACAGAGAGAGGAGAGAGAGGAGAGAGAGAGGAGAGAGAGAGAGAGACTGAAACCCCATAATGCACTGCACGCTGCAGGGCTGAAGTCGTGCAGATTCATCAGTTCCTGTTCGGAGGGATTGTGTGTGAGCGCACACACACTCGTACACCCAGACCGAGTGCAAGTGAAACACACAGACAACCAGGCAGGTAAGGCAGCTTTTCTCTGACCGTGCAGACAGCCACTGGCTTTACAAGATGATCTGTGTATCTGTGTATCTGTCCATTGCTGCCTCTTGAGAGGAGGAGAGGGGAGAATTGCTCTGTAGAGATGACAGGCAATCATTAATATTTGACATGTTATGATTCCGACAACTTCCCCGCCTGTTGCTAGAGATTTTTCTTACTTGGAAATGTCTGAGTTTGGGATTTTTCAAAAGCAAAGATATATCCTTAGAGATTTGACATATCTGATATGCATGTTGAATATGTGTGGTAGTTTTTGTCTGTCACCGGTTTTGTTTTTTTTGCATAGTTTGTTTTTCCTCCAGCTTGCAGATAGTGTTTAACTGTAGCTGATTTGAATATGCTGGGAAGGTTTTGCATGGACTTATATTATGGGATCACACTTTCCCATTCTGACGACTGTTTGCCTTTTTATTGGGGTAAAATAGTTACACATGTATTTACATTTTCAAAAATAATAAAACAAAAGCATAAGGAATTCAACAGTAAACTGGACAGTTCATAAGGTTTATTCTCTAAAGATCTAGTTAATGTTGCATTACTTGGTCTGATATGCTTCATGTAACAGTTAGATCAATTATGTTATTTAAACGCATGAAAGCCCAATGTGGCCGTAAAAGCTTTATTAATGACGATCACTGATGAGGTGTTTCTGGATTAAGTTTTCAAAGCTCATTGTAATTAAAACTTAATTTACAGTCTCACATTACTACAAATACTTTAATAAGCTAAGCCTGTTTTTTGAGTTATATACTACATGTTGTGCCCAGTGAGTCACACCAGTGCAAGCTGATTGGCGGTTAAAAGTTTGTGGTTTAACGGCCACAGGAGGCTTGTGACCGTATCTGTTGCGCCAGAGACACAGACAGGCTGGAAAATGCGATTGCAGGAGCTTAGAGCAGGGACTCTTAAACTTTATTACTGCAGGACTCCAAGAGGAAATTTCCGTCCTCCACCCATGGGACCATTATGAAATCTTGTTTCAACAGTTAAGAGGGCCAAGAATGAGAAATTGGTTTGAAATAAAAGTCAATGATTTCTAAATTAAACCTTAATTTCAAACGTCTGTAGAAATCCCTGAAGAACACTTGTAAACATAGGTTATATTGTCTTTTAAATAAAATACGGCTCAAGGTGATTTTATTTATATTAACTTTAATCAAAGTCTCAGAAGAGAGCATTGAGACTGTTTTAATGCAGATCAGACAAAATATTTTTTTATTTTGAATATTCAGTTTGTCTCCATTTAGCTCTGAGAGAGCATGGCTTCTATCTGCACTTCCCTGCACAAATCCACCTGTCAAAACTCAAAATGGAGAGGCTCCTCTTTTTCATTATGGCTCCTTTCATTAAGAGCCACCCTTCACCATTTATGCTGTAGCATGATAGAATTATCCACCAGACACCTAAACGACAGTAGCATCTATATCTCTGCCTCTGCTTTGTAGTAATTCAGCATTGGTGTTCAGAAGACTGAAAGCTGTGTCTATATACTGTAGTCATCTGGATATATAAGGTCTTCTTTAAAGTGAGTGTTTTAGTTCAGGATTCAGCCGGAAAAGAAACACTGAGCAAGAAAAAAAGAAATTCAGAAGGATGTATGTCAATGCTCTTACCAGAGCTATTTTAGTGGGGAGTTTAGGAGCTTTTTGACCAAAGGCCATTCATATATTCCACTACTGGTCTGTTATAGAGCTCTGTGTTGACAGATTCCCACACTTTCCACTGAGGTCACATCTTGGGGCCCCAGAATTGGTACCAGAACAACAGAGCTGTTCAGACCAAGAAGAAAGACGTCAGAGACTGAGCAATCATGCAGTTTTAGCGGACTAACATACTAGTACTAATGCATCTGTTGTTTGAAGAGCACCTGTTTAACTATTGTACCTTGAATACTCAACAATAGAGCAGAGGTCTGTTATGAATGTTGAAAACCTCTCAGACATACACAGGGTCACCCTGCTGGATTTTCCATTCGGTAAGATCCTTCTCCAGTTTTTAGATATTCTTTACTCTCGGTCCAGCTCTGGATTTGCTTGGCAACATGTATCAAAGGTGATATATGGATCCAGATATCCTTGTCCAACTTTAACTCCTCCTGTCTTTGTACTTTTTCCTCAAACGTTTTCCTCATCCCTGTCTTTAATGATCTGGAACACGAGGGACACATGTTCATGGATCTGTGGCCTCCTTTTGATATGTCCAGAATGAGTGAGGACGTGAGCGACTCTGGTTTGCGTTAGAAAGCAGTGCCTGGAAAGTCCTTTTCTCTCTCTCTCCTTTCTTTGTACACAGGCATCAGCAGAGCAGTGAGCTGGAACCTTAGTGTGCATTAAATTATCTGCAATTGCAGCAATTATCTGCAAGTCCAAAACACTGTGCCTTGTTTCTTCACGTGTCTCTCCTTGAAGCCTGATGGTTGGAAGTGAATTCACTCAATGATTCTGAAGTAGGCCTACTTGTTATTTACTTCAGTGTTTCCATTTCATACTACTCTGCACTTCTACTTCACTCTGTCTCAAAGGGAACAAGTGCTCTGCAGTCTCATATTTTAAAACCTTATATTGTCAATTTTCAACGTAATGCACAGTAAATCCAACTACAAAACTATTTTAACTAGTTTAAATTGATGTTGGCCACATTTTAACATTGGGATGCTGCCTACAGTACATGTGAAGACACAAATAATACTCCAATTACATGACATGATATAATATACTGAAAACACTGACAGGGTCATTCTGCGTCTATAATGAGTACTTTTACTTTCGATACTAAGTACAATTAACTTTTCGCAGCTTTTTACATAAAGCTTAAAACTAAAATATCATATTAACAATGACTGTGTGTAATGTGAAACATTTTGCTGATAGGGAAAAAACCCACGGAATATTATCCCCTGACTCAGCAGTTCCCTCAGCTCTACGAAGCGAACTGTTAGCATGTTCACCATGTGAGTTGCTGATATTTGCTAAATTATGTGTTTTTTAAAAGTCCGCATTGTAAAAGTTACATTTTAAATGCAGAATTTTGGGAGTATTTGCTGTCTTGCTACTGTCATATAGGTAACGGATCTTCTACTGTTACTTTTTGGAGTAGAAGATGTCACGTAGTGTATGTCTGAATTCAGCTGACCTCTTGAAGTTTCCATGAGCAAGACAGTAAATCTGTATGTGAGCGCTGTGCTTTGAGTGAGGCAAGTGAAATAAGTATTTCCTTATAGAGAAAAACTCAGACTGAACTTTATGGACAAAGCCAAGTGCTATTGGGGTCCTGCAGTTTTAATACACATGAATATTCAAATTCCATAAAAAAAAAAACATGCACACACATGGAGACACAGCATCCTGTTCCCAATTCAGCGTAATCCTGGAAGACAACTGCAGGGCCTTTTTTGGGCACACGCCGGTGACTTGTCAGCTCTAAAATTGAAATTCCATATTACCGGCGTCTGTAGTGCGTTGCTTTCACTCTATGAACGAATTGGTAAATATTTATAGAAGCTGGAGCTAAACATTAACACTTAGAGCAGCACAGAGATCCATCATAGGTGCTTTTGAGGGCAGGCTGCAGGCTGCCGTTCAATCAACACCTTTCCTTTTACACACACACACCCCGATACAGTGATAAATTCCAAACACCCTGATATATTGCAGCCACAAGTCAGTGATGTGGCTCTGAGTCACTTGCTAACACCCACATGACACATACACACATGCCTCCGCAAACACACACACACACACACATACACACACAACACCACGCACTCACATATGCTTACATAGACACACATGCACATGCATGTGTTTGATGGAGTTAGACGCCATGGCAACAGAGCTGTGACTCTTGCTGTCCTGTGAGTGGACTGAAGCTGTGGAGGAGGGAGGAGAAAGCTACCAGCTAGCATGGCTACACAAGTGCAGCTATTATTATTCCCAATCCCTCCCTCACTATTCTCTGCTTTTCCTTTTTCACCTCAACTGGCTGCCTTTCTGTTTATTTTTCCCAAGTGCAATATAACTCACTGTAAGTTGGAAAAAAACAAACCTCGACCAGGGGAAGTAGAGGGGGCAGAGGAGAGGTAAACATGCATCTTATACAGGCATGCATTTTCATCGATTGTGCAAAACCTGAGACATCAGAGGGAATGGCGCTGATTCTCACAGCCGCAACCAGACAGCACTCTGGATGGCATCTTATTTGTTGACATATTTGAAAATAGAGGAACACAGGCGAACTGAGAAACAGGCTGGACATGGTAAGACGATGAACTGACAAAATACACAAGGAGAGCAGAGTGATTACACACAGGTGGAATAACACAATCACCGATGCGGGAAAAGACACAAAGGCAAGGAAGTAAAGCCAGACATGACACAAGGGGAAAGTGAACTTACAAAACAAAACAGGGAACTAAACAAGAAACCCAAGACCGTGACACTGTTATTTTTCCTCTTGCATTCCTTGCCCTCTCACTTGCTGCATCACCCTGTTTCAATCACAACACAAAACGATTTAACTCCTTCTCTTTGTCTTCCTCCCTTCAATACTTTTTTTTATGTTTTTGTTTTTTTGCCTCACAGTTAGTTCTCCCCCTCTCTGTTCCTGTCAGTCGTGTTTTATAAAGGCAGTATCACAGATAAAGAGAGCGAGGGGGTTGGGGGGGTAGGCTGCAGGTGGACAGGTCTCACAAACAGCATCTGTATGAGATTTACTGCCTGCAGATACAGATGGTGGAGAGACTGCTAGGATGAAAAAGGGGGGAGAGGGAGTTGGAATGGTGCAGGTGAATTGCATTTGGGTCTTGGGTAGCATTTTCACGGTCTGATTGTCAGCATTTGTTAACATACCCACATGCACGCGGACGCGTGCACGCACTCCCATGCAGTGTGAAATTGTGGGAACGTGGCTGTTGACAGTGGAAGTTTGTCTGAGTTAAGTTCCCCCCTGCGTTTCTCTCCTCC